TTATTCTATAGACCTACAGAGCAGAATGAGAGGTTTAGGAGAGAAGAGATTATGACAGATTAGATACATATACCTGTTCACACGAAGTTTTGTTTAGAAACGGTCACTTGAATAAATAAAAGTCTGAACAATTTCAAAAATACGCTCATTGTCAACATTTGATAATTCAACATTTCCAGACAATAGTAACTCTAGGTGCACAGGATGATATGGTATCAACTTATTTAACATTTCATGTCTGATGTTCCTGTACATTGGACATTGGAAAAAATAATGGTATAAGTTTTCACAGGGGTGGCCACAGGCACAAAAAGGAGATTCTACAAGGTTCACACGAAAGAGATCATAATTCAGTTGGCTAGAATTGTGTCTAAGTTTAGTTAATAAGATATTAAGGCGACGGGGTCTGTAATTAAAGAAACACAATGGCTTATGATATTCCGGAGTTATAGCAGTTTTGAATTTACTAACTGTAGTTTGATTTCTAGTGGTTTCTGATAAGTTATTCTATTTTTTTGTAGTTGCTGGGATATATGATGATCTAGTATTGGAAAGAATATAGTTATGCATGGTATAGTTATTGTTATTTCTAAGGGGATATGGAGTTCTATCACATACTAAACCTGGAAGTAATGTATAAAGATATGACGGTGTTAGTTTATTGTGCATTTTGTAAAATAAAGTTAGCTTTCTTCGTTCTCTTCTGATATTCAAAGTGTCCCATCCCGTTTCAAAATATAAAGATTGAGAACTTGCATATACTGGCAACCCATTACTACTCTAGCAGCTTCCAGTTGAAGTTTTTCTAACAAATCAATATGGAATTTAGATAAACCACTCCAGAGTTCACAAGCATATTCCATTATAGGTTGAATGAAACATGTATATATTTTATTAAGAACTTTCCTATTCACCAGAAATATTAATTGTCTAAAAGCATTTATCCGTTTTGAAGCACGTTTATAAATATTTTCAACATGATCACCCCATTTAGCATTTGCACTAAAAGTTACCCCTAAATGCTTATGGTTTTCAGAAAAAATTAAAATGCTGCCGCCAAACAATAGCTCCAGATCTTTATTTTTTTTTAAATGTTTGAGATAAATAGAGCATCTGTTTCATTAGAATTAAATGTAACTAACCATTGCTTGGACCATGCATTTATACATTGAAGATCAGGATTCATTACTCGTTCAATTTCGTTGCAGTTAGAACCAAATATTAAAGAAGTATCATCAGCAAAAAGTCTAAATACGCTAATTAAATTTTTGGAAATATCATTGATATAGATTAGAAATAAAATCGAACCAAACACCGAGCCTTGAGGTACCCCAGCTTTTAATAACTGACTATTCGAAAATGATTCACTAATAAAAACTTTTTGTTGTCGGGCCTGTAGATAATTAATTAACCACTTCAAGAAATTTCCTGTAATTCCATAAGATTTAAGCTTTTCAATCAGACCCTTATGCCAAACTCTATCAAAAGCCTAAAGATAATACAAGTATGTTTCTTTTCCTCAAGATTTAACATATATTATGATAGATTTCGATGAACGTTATGTGTTTACAAAGCATTTGATTACCGATCGCGAGAAGAAATATTTAAATATCTTGGATTTATTCAGTGCCATTAAAAAAAATCAAAAAGCAATCAATTAAATGTAGAAATCTGGAGATAAGATGGGGGAAAATCGCCAAATATAAAAGACACACAAACAATATATTACAGTATTTGTAAGAAATCCGACATAATTTACATAAAATCATGATAGACTAAATAATGGATGGCTACAAGTATTCTGTAGTTATATGTTGTAGACGCCAGTAAACGTATGTAAAATGTTAAACTATGGAATAGTAGAAGTCGGCTAGATATGCCAGTAATGTACACGAGAACGTCTGGGATACAACTGTAGCTAAACAACAGGATCAACCACTCGACAACTCCGATATCTCTTCGGTAAAAAGTCGTCATGGGAAACTCCTCACCGAACCCAATTTCATAAATTATAGGAATAACTAAAAAGTGTCAAACACAGGAAACGAAACTTCTCCGAATAAGTGAAGCAGAGGATGGAGTTAGAGGCGGGTGTGTGTAAACGTCACCGACAAGCTTTTCTGAGGCGGGTGTGTGTATACGTCACAGACAAGCTTTTCTGCCGAGATGAATTGGAGTGGAGTGCCTCGATAATTTGACTTATTGTGTTGTCCGCTCGATCCGTCGTGTATAATTTAATAATCATTGATTTAAATAATACGAGTCTCAACAAACGATTGTTTTGGTTCATGTACACTGGCGATACTTATGACCTATACGTGTGCATGCAACCAACAATTCTTGGAAGCCCATAGTTAAAAACATATATTTATATATTTTATCTTTACATTAGTTTAACCTATAAACCTATCTGTTGTGTTTTGTTTACACAGTTCAGATACACAGCAGGTCCGATCGACATTGATAAAAAATCAATTCACGGATATATCGATCAGGATGTAATTGTGTAAAACTCATGGTTAGCTTTTAATAGATAAAATGTAGACGAATAACTTACACACTACCACACCAGAGACATAAAAAGCCAGAGATAGATATACGTCTCTGATCACATGTAGGCACCCACACAGTCAACGAGGATGAATTGTAATTACCACAAAATGAGGAAGTGACAATGTCGTTACCGTTTACTTGTTTATAACTTGATCCCTATAAGCGGTCACGGCTGTACTAACAACGAATGAGGTTATATATACTCCACGTTCCTGGAAGTTATAGCTATATATAGATACATGTATGGGAGCCCGTAACAACTAGACCAGCTACAATGTATCTCCCGTCAGTATTATAAAATCATTCGTCAGCCGTACGTTAGTGGATCATTATAGTAATGTTTGCTAAAGAAATTAGTTTGATTGTCCCTTTCCGTTGTTATTTAACGTGGTGGTGTTTATCTGACGGTACTTTACGCGGTGGTGGTTTGACAGCCCAGACCACTAATTATTATACAGTGAGAGCTCAGATAAAATAACTGAAAATTATACTTTAAGAGAGATAAGAGCTCAAACCACTGACAATTATATTGTACGAGAGCTCAAATCACTGACAATTATACAATATAAGAGCTCAAATCACTGACAATTATACTGTATGAGAGCTCAAACCACTAACAATTATACAGTATGAGAGCTCATACCACTGACAATTATACAGTATGAGAGCTCAAACCACTGACAATTATACAGTATGAGAGCTCAAACCACTAACAATTAAACAGTATGAGAGCTCAAATCACTGACAATTATACAGTATGAGAGCTCAAACCACTGACAAATATACAGTATGAGAGCTCAAACCACTTACAATTATACTGTATGAGAGCTCAAACCACTGACAATTATACAGTATGAAAGCTCAAACCACTGACAATTAAACCGTATGAGAGCTCAAACCACTAATAATTATACAGTATGAGAGCTCAAATAACTGACAATTATACAGTATGAGAGCTGAAATCACTGACAACTGTACTGTATGAGAGCTCAAACCACTAACAATTAAACAGTATGAGAGCTCAAACCACTGACACTATATAATATGAGATCTCAAATCACTGACAATTAAACAGTATGAGAGCTCAAACCACTAACAATTATATAATATGAGAGCTCAAACCACTGACAATTATACTGTATGAGAGCTCAAACCACTGACAATTATACTGTATGAGAGCTCAAACCACAAACATTTATACTGTATGAGAGCTCAAATCACTGACAATTATACTGTATGTGAGCTCAAATCACTGACAATTATACTGTATGAGAGCTCAAATCACTGACAATTATACTGTACGAGAGCTCAAATCACTGACAATTATACTGTACGAGAGCTCAAATCACTGACAATTATACTTTTTATACTGTGTATTTAACCACTAAAATTGTAAAGCAAGGACCATAATACCACTTATGATTTTAGAGTATGGACACCAAATCACAAACCTAACAATGGTACAGTAGCAGTGCTCGTTATATTTTGCATAAAAACTCAGACTCCTACCAGCGTCTTTCCCTGATTATGAGTTTTATATCGCAAACTTTGTAAGTCCGACGTTTAGTTGCGTGTTGGTTATTTGACAGTATACTTTACGTGGTTATTTGACAGTATACTTTACGTGGTTATTTGACAGTATACTTTACGTGGTTATTTGACAGTATACTTTACGTGGTTATTTGACAGTATACTTTACGTGGTTATTTGACAGTATACTTTACGTGGTTATTTGACAGTATACTTTACGTGGTTATTTGACAGTATACTTTACGTGGTTATTTGACAGTATACTTTACGTGGTTATTTGACAGTATACTTTACGTGGTTATGACAAATTGACAGGTTTACGTTGTGATGGCTATTTTGTACTTTACGTGGTGGTTTTGATTGTCGCGATTACAATTTTAAAATACTAAATTATCAGCAAAAATTCCTGTACTAGTCAGGAATTTAACTATAAATAAAATTGAGAAGATGAGACATTTCTGACCCAAATCTGGTGTTTGAGCAAGCATGGGTTTCCATACCGAGTTATGGGGATTTCGTGTGATTACCTTCCTGTATCATAACAGTCTCCATAAACACCCCATCGAGACAGTCCGGAACCGGACACGGTCACTTATACAGGACACCTCGAGAGGTGAGTGATAATGTTGTCATCAGATTCAGAAATTGTCATAATGAATGATGAATAAATTTGAACATAAGCGTAAATAATATAATTGACTATCGGTTTCGTATACATAAACCGAAACTAAAAAATAAGAGAGTTTTTGTTAAAGAGTGATATTGTTTAAGAACATAAAATGTTACAATCCATACATGTAGATGTAATAAAAAGTGGAAATCCTTATCATGTTGGTTGTTTTTAATTACATCGTATTCCTGATCAATGCTTTATATATGTAAACCGAAACTAGATCGGTAAGTTGCCACAGTCTTTGCAAATCGTTGACGAAGAGATAAGACAACTTGTCAGCTCTTTCTCTAAACATACATTTACAATAGTAGAACAATAAAAACATGCATCTTATTGATTAAATTAAAAACGTCACATCTAGATCAATTGTTGAAGTTGAAGAACTCGGTATACATCTCTATACGAGTTTGTATAAATGTCTATCTGGAGAGCTGTGTTCTAAATCAAACTCATCATTTAAAACATTCAAATTCTGCAAAAAGATAACGTTTGTTTGTAAACAGTTGGCATTTCAATCAAAATTGAAAATTGCCCGCAATTAAAAGTCGGACTTACAAAGTTTGCGCTATAAAACTCATATTCAGGGAAAGACGTTGTTAGGAGTCCGAGTTTGTATGCAAAATATAACGATCACTGATACTGTAAAATTGTTAGGTTTGTGATTTGGCGTCCATACTCTAAAATCTTTAGTGGTTTTATGTTCCTTACTGTACAATTGTACAGCCACACCATACTGGTCGTGGGGGAGGGGACAAAAGGATGTGATGTGATGATGAGACCTTCTACACTCACTGATAGAGTATGGCAATGCTATACATGTCATACTGGCTAGGAGAGGATATTCACCAGGTATACTAGGTATTAATTGATACATCATGTTTCTAGCTCATTAGATTTTATTAGGTCTTTAATTAGATATTTTATCGTTTAGTGTATGTCATTTCTTGCAATCCTTTTGCACCATCACTTTGGGGTATTTGTTTGTTTTACAGAAGCTACGTGTGTATAAAACATGTCTGTGGGCTTGCGTGTTGTGCGTGGTCCAGACTGGAGCCATGGAAACGTCGATCAAGGTGAAGGTCACATGGGAACGGTTGTCAAGGATGATAAGGATAACTACGACGTGATCTGGGACAAAGGCGGAAAAAGTAACTGCCGAGCGGGCAAAGGAGGCAAATATGACTTGCGGATTTTGGATAATGCCCCTATCGGTAAGCATCGTAATTCTATTTACGTATATATATGTACTATGTATGTCCAGTTTAATACAAAATAAAAACATAAGTATTATATGAAGGTTATAAGTAAATACAAGAGAGTGATCTCTCCTTACAGATGGCAAGTAACACATAGTAACCTTGTGGACATTCTGGTTACTTGACTCGCTATCTTCCTTAATGCCGTTTTTTCCAATGCGCATGCGTAGATGTCCTACAATAACAACCGAAATAGCCAGCATATGGTGTTTTTGGATAGTTAAAAAGCCTCTGCATGTGTTAAACAAAAATCCTTTCCACGAATGAACACTGGTATGACAATGTTTAAGCATGTTAAATAGGTATTTGTTAGTTGCAAAAATTGAAGAGTGTTTACGTCATTTCCCTCAAAACAGCCAATCTTCCACTAAAGAGCGCACGATAGACGAAAATCACGCACATGCAGGTTATGTCTCTCTTTGCAATGCCATATCTCATATACGAATTGTCGAATTAATTTGAAATTTCATCTTTGCGTACTAAATTTATTCCAGATTACGAATTTAACAACTAAATCCCCGATGAGGCCGGAAATTACCCTTAACGCCCCTAGTCCTTTCTTTTGACACTTGTTTTAGATCCCTGTTGATAGCATATGCCAAACGGTCAACTTGCACCAAACAATGACATAGAATAAAATGATACTGAGTAAAATAGTCATCTTCATAAGGGCGACGTCATACTAGCTTTTCTTTTGAATCGTTTTGGACTCAACAGCAAGGCTTAGACAAGGAATATACTATCGTTACCGTGCTTCGTTCGAGTGAATTTCTTTGTGAGATAAATAAGTAAATTTGTGTGTGTACAACAGATGTCCATTAGTCTAGACATCAACAGACCGGTTGTCACTTGACATCTAGCTAGTGTTTTGCTAATTTAACTACCACTAGTCCGGTTGTCACGTGACTAGCCATTGTAAAGTAATTAACTAAGCCATCACCAGTACGACTGTCACGTGACATCAAGCCAGTGTTTAGTTAATTTAACCACCACCAATCCGGTTGTCACGTGCCGTCTAGCTAGTTTTTAGTTAATTAAGCCATCCCTAGTCCGGTTGTCACGTGACATCTACTCAGTGTTTAGTTGATTTAGCCATCATCAGTCCGATTGTCACGTGACATTTAGCCAGTGTTTAGTTAATTTAGCCACCACCAGTCCGGTTGTCACGTGACATCTAGCCAGTGTTTAGTTTATTTAGCCACCACCAGTCCGGTTGTCACGTGTCAGTTAGCCAGTGTTTAGTTAATTTAGCCACCACCAGTCCGGTTGTCACGCGACATCTAGCCAGTGTTTAGTTTATTTAGCCACCCCCAGTCCGGTTGTCACGTGTCAGTTAGCCAGTGTTTAGTTAATTTAGCCACCCCCAGTCCGGTTGTCACGTGACATCTAGCCAGTGTTTAGTTTATTTAGCCACCCCCAGTCCGGTTGTCACGTGACATTTAGCCAGTGTTTAGTTTATTTAGCCACCACCAGTCCGGTTGTCACGCGACATCTAGCCAGTGTTTAGTTTATTTAGCCACCACCAGTCCGGTTGTCACGCGACATCTAGCCAGTGTTTAGTTTATTTAGCCACCACCAGTCCGGTTGTCACGCGACATCTAGCCAGTGTTTAGTTTATTTAGCCACCGCCAGTCCGGTTGTCACGTGTCAGTTAGCCAGTGTTTAGTTAATTTAGCCACCCCCAGTCCGGTTGTCACGTGTCAGTTAGCCAGTGTTTAGTTAATTTAGCCACCACCAGCCCGGTTGTCACGTGTCAGTTAGCCAGTGTTTAGTTAATTTAGCCACCACCAGTCCGGTTGTCACGTGCCATCTAGCCAGTGTTTAGTTTATTTAGCCACCCCCAGTCCGGTTGTCACGTGTCAGTTAGCCAGTGTTTAGTTAATTTAGCCACCTCCAGTCCGGTTGTCACGTGACATCTAGCCCAGTGTCTGGTGAACAATTCCCCTTATTTTCTTCACTTAGTTAACTTTTTATTATAGCAATTGGTAGCCATACTGATTAGACATCAATACTCACTTGTTGTAACCATTTCAGGTGCAAAGCATACGGGGGTGAACTGTAAGAATTGCAAAAATAAGAATTGCATACATGGCATGCGATGGCAGTGTACACAGTGCCCGGATGTTGACCTCTGTAGTCAGTGCTACTTCACGAACGCCCACAGCCTAGACCACGCCTTCAAGCGTATGGACAGGTCCGGCGGCACGTGGTAATATATATAATATTTTGGTAGAGCGTTACAAAATTTGAGTATGTATGTAATCTTGTTCACTTAACCATATTCACTTTACAATGTACGTTGAAACCTGCATAATCCAATACTCTGCATGACACGACAAATTGGTCATCTTGACCTGTTAAATCTGACATCATGTAGGGCACGACATATTGGTCATATAAACCTGTTAAATGGTCATATTAATCTGTTTAATCTGACATCATGTAGGGCACGACCTATTGGTCATATTTAACCTGTTTAATCTGAAATAATGTAGGGCCCGACATATTGGTCATATTGACCTGTTTAATCTGACATCATGGAGGGCACGACATATTGGTCATATTGACCTGATTAATCTGACATCATGTAGGGCACGACATATTGATCATATTGACCACTTAAATCTGACATCATGTAGGGCACGACATATTGGGCATATTAACCAGTTAAATCTGACATCATGTAGGGCACGACATATTGGTCATATTAATCTGTTTAATCTGACATCATGTAGGGCACGACATATTGGTCATATAAACCTGTTTAATCTGACATCATGTAGGGCACGACAAATTTGTTATATTGACCTGTTTAATTTGACATCATGTAGGGCACAACATATTGGTCATATTGACCTGTATAATTTGACATCATGTAGGGCACGATATATTGGTCATATTAACCTGTTTACTCTGACATAATATAGGGCACGACATATTGGGCATATTAACCAGTTAAATCTGACATCATGTAGGGAACGACATATTGGTCTTATTAACCTGTTTAATCTGACATCATGGAGGGCACGACATATTGGTCATATGAACCTGTTTAATCTGACATAATATAGGGCACGACATATTGGGCATATTAACCTGTTTAATCCAGACCGGGTGTCACTTGACATCTAGCTAGTGGTTTGCTAATTTAACTACCACTAGTCCGATTGTCACGTGACATTTAGCCAGTGTTTAGTTAATTTAGGCACCACAAGTCCGGTTGTCACGTGACATCTAGCCAGTGCTTAGTTTATTTAGCCACCACCAGTCCGGTAGTCACGTGACATCTAGCCAGTGCTTAGTTTATTTAGCCACCACCAGTCCGCTTGCCACGTGTCAGTTAGCCAGTGTTTACTTAATTTAGCCACCACCAGTCCGGTAGTCACGTGACATCTAGCCAGTGCTTAGTTTATTTAGCCACCACCAGTCCGCTTGCCACGTGTCAGTTAGCCAGTGTTTACTTAATTTAGCCACCACCAGTCGGGTTGTCACGTGACATCTAGCCAGTGTTTAGGTTATTTAGCCACCACCAGTCCGGTAGTCACGTGACATCTAGCCAGTGTTTAGTGGATTTAGCCACCACCAGTCCGCTTGCCACGTGTCAGTTAGCCAGTGTTTACTTAATTTAGCCACCACCAGTCCGGTTGTCACGTGACATCTAGCCAGTGTTTAGTGGATTTAGCCACCACCAGTCCGCTTGCCACGTGTCAGTTAGCCAGTGTTTAGTTAATTTAGCCACCACCGGTCCGGTTGTCACGTGACATCTACTCAGTGTTTGGTTAATTTAGCAATCATCAGTCCGATTGTCACGTGACATTTAGCCAGTGTTTAGTTAATTTAGCAATCATCAGTCCGATTGTCACGTGACATTTAGCCAGTGTTTAGTTAATTTAGCCACCACCAGTCGGGTTGTCACGTGACATCTACTCAGTGTTTAGTTAATTTAGGCACCACAAGTCCGGTTGTCACGTGACATCTACTCAGTGTTTAGTTAATTTAGCCACCACCGGTCCGGTTGTCACGTGACATCTACTCAGTGTTTAGTTAATTTAGCCACCACCAGTCCGGTTGTCACGTGACATCTAGCCCAGTGTCTGGGGAACAATTCCCCTTATTTTCTTCACTTAGTTAACTTTTTATTCTAGCAATTGGTAGCCATACTGATTAGACATCAATACTCACTTGTTGTAACCATTTCAGGTGCAAAGCATACGGGGGTGAACTGTAAGAATTGCAAAAATAAGAATTGCATACATGGCATGCGCTGGCAGTGTACACAGTGCCCGGATGTTGACCTCTGTAGTCAGTGCTACTTCACGAACGCCCACAGCCTAGACCACGCCTTCAAGCGTATGGACAGGTCCGGCGGCACGTGGTAATATATATAATATTTTGGTAGAGCGTTACAAAATTTGAGTATGTATGTAATCTTGTTCACTTAACCATATTCACTTTACAATGTACGTTGAAACCTGCATAATCCAATACTCTGCATGACACGACAAATTGGTCATCTTGACCTGTTAAATCTGACATCATGTAGGGCACGACATATTGGTCATATAAACCTGTTTAATCTGACATCATGTAGGGCAAGACATATTGGTCATATTAACCTGTTTAATCTGACATCATGTAGGGCACGCCATATTGGTCATATTAACCTGTCTAATCTGACATCATGTAGGGCACGACAAATTGGTTATATTGACCTGTTTAATTTGACATCATGTAGGGCACGACAAATTGGTAATATTGACCTGTTTAATCTAACATCATGTAGGGCACGACATATTGGTCATATTAACCTGTTTAATCTGACATCATGTAGGGCACGACATATTGGTCATATTTAACCTGTTTAATCTGAAATAATGTAGGGCCCGACATATTGGTCATATTGACCTGTTTAATCTGACATCATGTAGGGCACGACATATTGGTCATATTAACCTGTTTAATCTGACATCATGTAGGGCACGACATATTGGTCATATTAACCTGTTTAATCTGACATCATGTAGGGCACGACATATTGGTCATATTAACCTGTTTAATCTGACATCATGTAGGGCACGACATATTGGTCATATTAACCTGTTTAATCTGACATCATGTAGGGCACGACATATTGGTCATATTAACCTGTTTAATCTGACATCATGTAGGGCACGACATATTGGTCATATTAACCTGTTTAATCTGACATCATGTAGGGCACGACATATTGGTCATATTAACCTGTTTAATCTGACATCATGTAGGGCACGACATATTGGTCATATTAACCTGTTTAATCTGACATCATGTAGGGCACGACATATTGGTCATATTAACCTGTTTAATCTGACATCATGTAGGGCACGACATATTGGTCATATTAACCTGTTTAATCTGACATCATGTAGGGCACGACATATTGGTCATATTAACCTGTTTAATCTGACATCATGTAGGGCACGACATATTGGTCATATTAACCTGTTTAATCTGACATCATGTAGGGCACGACATATTGGTCATATTAACCTGTTTAATCTGACATCATGTAGGGCACGACATATTGGTCATATTAACCTGTTTAATCTGACATCATGTAGGGCACGACATATTGGTCATATTAACCTGTTTAATCTGACATCATGTAGGGCACGACATATTGGTCATATTAACCTGTTTAATCTGACATCATGTAGGGCACGACATATTGGTCATATTAACCTGTTTAATCTGACATCATGTAGGGCACGACATATTGGTCATATTAACCTGTTTAATCTGACATCATGTAGGGCACGACATATTGGTCATATTAACCTGTTTAATCTGACATCATGTAGGGCACGACATATTGGTCATATTAACCTGTTTAATCTGACATCATGTAGGGCACGACATATTGGTCATATTAACCTGTTTAATCTGACATCATGTAGGGCACGACATATTGGTCATATTAACCTGTTTAATCTGACATCATGTAGGGCACGACATATTGGTCATATTAACCTGTTTAATCTGACATCATGTAGGGCACGACATATTGGTCATATTAACCTGTTTAATCTGACATCATGTAGGGCACGACATATTGGTCATATTAACCTGTTTAATCTGACATCATGTAGGGCACGACATATTGGTCATATTAACCTGTTTAATCTGACATCATGTAGGGCACGACATATTGGTCATATTAACCTGTTTAATCTGACATCATGTAGGGCACGACATATTGGTCATATTAACCTGTTTAATCTGACATCATGTAGGGCACGACATATTGGTCATATTAACCTGTTTAATCTGACATCATGTAGGGCACGACATATTGGTCATATTAACCTGTTTAATCTGACATCATGTAGGGCACGACATATTGGTCATATTAACCTGTTTAATCTGACATCATGTAGGGCACGACATATTGGTCATATTAACCTGTTTAATCTGACATCATGTAGGGCACGACATATTGGTCATATTAACCTGTTTAATCTGACATCATGTAGGGCACGACATATTGGTCATATTAACCTGTTTAATCTGACATCATGTAGGGCACGACATATTGGTCATATTAACCTGTTTAATCTGACATCATGTAGGGCACGACATATTGGTCATATTAACCTGTTTAATCTGACATCATGTAGGGCACGACATATTGGTCATATTAACCTGTTTAATCTGACATCATGTAGGGCACGACATATTGGTCATATTAACCAGATAAATCTGACATCATGTAGGGCACGACATATTGGTCATATTGACCTGTTTAATCTGACATCATGTAGGGCACGACATATTGGTCATATTAACCAGTTAAATCTGACATTATGTAGGGCACGACACGTGCTGCATACATGTATCATTACTAATCTTTAAAATGTGCATTTGTATCCTTATTTGTTTATCGTGTCCGGTAACGAAAGAACGTATCAATAAATAAATGGATACCGTCGGGTAACGAAAACGACAAAAATCAGCCCATGGACCAGCTAATGCTAAATTATGTATAGCAGCAGCTCGCGCGTTACATCGTCCTGGGATTGGTGTTAGAGAGAAACAAACATTTAAATGTCATTAGCGACTAATTCTAGCTCAATATAATTAATGTATATAGACGTAGGATATGACTTAATTTTAATGGCGTTATGTGTAATCCGTAAGTCATAAAACAACAACCATTCCTAGAAAAGGAATACGTTACTATGGAGTGTCCTCGCTCACACCCACTATACATTATATACTACTGCTGTAGGGTGACCGTATCGAAGAGGTCCATTGGTACCAAGATCCGGGCCCTAGGAATCTTCCCCGGAGCCAAGGTTCAGAGGGGACCTCACTGGGAGTTCGGCGACCAGGATGGTACGCATGCGCATTACTACAAATGGCCTAATTTGCAATAAAAAAGAAGGAAGTTATTTCATAAATTTGTGTCGATATCGATATTTGTATCACATTTATATCGATGTTACAGCAAACATTGAGTCACGTGTACATTTTCACTCGAGCACTACACTATTATTGTGTTACGTCTTGTCACCTCAGCGTAATGTAATTACATTTATATCCAATAAAACAACATTTGAGAGTTGCATGTGTATCAATCACACACCGTTCACAGTACTGCTGTTATATGAAGGTGGTATGGGGTCCAAAGGGTCCGTAGTTGACATCCGACCTTACGGGTCTGCAATTGGTACGAGAAATGCGGTGAAGGTGAAATGGCCAAACGACGAGTCGAACGTGTACCGAGTGGGCAGCCAGGGGAAGGTGGACGTTAAGTGTGTCGAGGAGGCGCAGGGCTTTTACTACTACAGGGAACACCTGCCAGTCGCCGGTAAGTGTTACTACTACCGGAAACACCTGTCAGTCGCCGGTAAGTGTAACTAATACCGGGAACACCTGTAAGTCGTCGGTAAGTGTTACTACTACCGGGAACACCTGTCTGTCGATGGTAAGTGTTACTACTATTGGGAACACCTGCCAGTCGTCGGTAAGTGTAACTACTAACGGGAACATCTACCAGTCGCCGGTAAGTGTTACTACTAACGGGAACATCTACCAGTCGCCGGTAAGTGTTACTACTACCGGGAACACCTGTCAGTCGCCGGTTTGTGTTCTACTACGGGAAACACCTGTAAGTCGCCGGTAAGTGTTACTACTACCGGGAACACCTTCCAGTCGCCGGTAAATGTAACTACTACCGGGAACACCTGTCAGTCACCGGTAAGTGTAACTACTACCGGGAACACCTGTCACTCGTCTGTAAGTATTACTACTAGCGGGAACACCTGTCAGTCGCCGGTCAGTGTTACTACTACCGGGAACACCTGTCAGTCGCCGGTCAGTGTTACTACTATCGGGAACACCTGTCCGTCGCCGGTAATTGTTACTACTACCGGGAACACCTGTCAGTCGCCGGTAAGTATTACTACTACCGGGAATACCTGCCAGTCGCCGGTAAGTGTAACTACTATCGGGAACACCTGTCAGTCGCCGGTAATTGTTACTACTACCGGGAACACCTGTCAGTCGTCGGTAAGTGTAACTAATACCGGGAACACCTGTCAGTCGCCGGTCAGTGTTACTACTATCGGGAACACCTGTCAGTCGCCGGTAATTGTTACTACTACCGGGAACCCCTGTCAGTCGCCGGTAAGTGTAACTACTACCGGGAACACCTGTCATTCGTCTGTAAGTATTACTACTACCGGGAACACCTGCCAGTCGCCGGTAAGTGTTACTGCTACCGGGAACACCTGTCAGTCGCCGGTGGGTGTAACTAATACCGGGAACACATGTAAGTCGCCGGTAAGTCTTACTACTACCGGGAACACCTGTCAGTCGCCGGTAAGTGTAACTACTATCGGGTTTACCTGTCAGTCGCCGGTAAGTGTTACTACTACCGGGAACACCTGTCAGTCGCCGGTTTGTGTTCTACTACCGGGAACAACTGCCAGTCGCCGGTATGTGTTCTACTACCGGGAACACCTGCCAGTAGCCGGTATGTGTTCTACTACCGGGAACACCTGTCAGTCGCCGGTTTGTGTTCTACTACCGGGAACACCTGCCAGTAGCCGGTATGTGTTCTACTACCGGGAACACCTGCCAGTCGCCGGTAAGTGATACTACTACCGGAAACACCTGCCAGTAGCCGGTATGTGTTCTACTACCGGGAACACCTGTCAGTCGCCGGTAAGTGTTACCACTACCGGGAACACCTGCCTGTCGCAGGTAAGTGTTACTACTACCGGGAACACCTGCCAGTCGATGGTAAGTGGGTAGGACGATTGTACTGCTATCGAGAAGTCCTTGTATACGAATGACCATTGATACACGAATCATTTAAACAATGATATCATAATCGCGATAGTAAATGTTCATCAGAACTAGTATGCCGTCCATTTGAAACCGAAATGGTGTCTTGTTTTTGGAAGACATTTGGGTTGACACATCGTCCATGTTCTAATTGATACAGATGATGTATGAAATATCATTTGCTGTTACATGTACATATACTTTATTGATTTAGGAACGACAGGTGATACCGGGATTAGACCGAAAGTGACCAACACCCCAAACGCTCCAAATCCTACCCCGCCAAGGTCGCAATTCAAGGTCGGGGACAAGGTCTGCGTCCATCTCCCGGCCGAATCACTAAAGGAGGTGCAGAGAGGGCACGGGGGGTGGAGCATGCGCATGAGTGAGGTAGATCTTTCCGGTAATCAGTGTATGATCACTGATTGGTACTGAGTGTAATGACATCCAAATAGATAGGATAACAATGTTAAAACGTCTATTGTGTCCACGGACTATCTTTTTAAAATTCAGTCACAGGAAAAGCTGTTCCACCAATCAAACATTCCAGTAATGTTTGTTGGGATTTATAAAAAAAATGTTTTCTAAAGACGTAAAGGCCTGAAAATGTAGATCTATACAGGCATGAAACTTCTTTCATATGTGGCCTGTAAAAATATGTTATTTGTAACTGTGAACGACCCTGAATCGTCGCTGTCCTTCATATACAGCATGACCTTGACCTAAATCCTTATTCGTTGTAGTGTGTGGGGGAGACAATGAAGGTGAAGAGGATGGTCGATGACTCTACAGTTGAGGTGGAACACAACGGGACTACGTGGCAGTTCTACAAGGGGGCGCTGTCTAAGGTGGGTGTATTTATATGCCAAACGGGTCTACAAGGGGGCGCTGTCTAAGGTGGGTGTATTTATATGCCAAACGGGTCTAAAAGGGGGCGCTGTCTAAAGTGGCTATACTTCTATACCATACGAGTCTACAGGGGGCGCTGTCTTAGGTGGGTATACTTATATACCAAGCGGGACTACAAGGGGGCGCTGTCTTAGGTGGGTATACTTATATACCAAACAGGACTACAAGGGGGCACTGTCCAAGGTGGGTGTATTTATATTCCAAACGGGTCNACTGTCCAAGGTGGGTGTATTTATATTCCAAACGGGTCTACAAGGGCCGCTGTCTAAGGTGTGTGTACTTATATACTAAACGCGACTACAAG